TATATATATATATATATATATATATATATATGATATATATCATTACATATACACATATGTATATATTGATATCTAACTGTACGAGTCGGTACTTATATCAAAAGTAGGTAAGAGCGAAAATAGAAGAAAAGAAACCCCATCCCAGTGTTATTGTTTAACCGACGGTGAACTGAAGAACTCAACGAGAACAATTCTCAATATAATTAGAATATTTGCATTAAAGCATACATTTTAGTAGATCAACCTGAACCTTACATTTCCGTTTGTATTATAAAGTATTAAGACAAAATAAGCAAGTATTAAAACAAAAAAAAAAAAAACAAAAAAGACAGCAACCTGTTAATTCATGCAATTGAACGAGTCGTCTCATACTTGTTCACTAAGTGAAAAGATCTAATATTGGATTTTATCAATGACCGATTATATATTTCGAGCTTTTACCTACTCCTACGTGGAAACTAAGCCAAGAAACGCACGAATCTTCCAAAAGAATCCGAAATCAAATTGTTTAAAACGGACTTTGAATTTAAATCCGCCATCCGAAATCCGAGGAAAAAGCAATATTCCCTTTTTTGTGAAAGGCACAAGTCAATATTTAAATAAACAAATAATTATAATAACAAGTAAGAACGTTGCTGTCGGGCGCTACCGACTGCGGAATACTCATTCACATCCCATCAGCAATTTAGCAGCTAAGTTAAGCTCTAATATTGTAGAAAATTCAGGTTTTCCCGATTTGCCACGCCCTTATAGGGCATGGCCAGTTCTTGGAACGAGCTTACTACACCCTAATTGCAAAATTTGAATGCTTGCCACGCCACTAGTGGCGTAGCTGTTCGGGAAAATTTTAACACTATAAATAGAAGATATACACGAGTATGTGTTCCAAATTTCAAGTCTCTAGCTTGAATTGCGCCGGAAAAAAATCACTTTCGTGAATTAGTATAAAAAAGAAGTAAGTTAATGGATTGAAACCAAAATCTTTACTAAAAGAAACTCAACCAAAAACTCTATACATGCATGTTTTCCAAAAACTTGTAAATGTGTGTATTTTAATATTGTAGACTTAAATAAGTATATATATAAAATAATATAACAAATGTACGCACACTAGTAATTTACGTATTTGTATATCTACATACATATTATGTACATACTGATCTACCCTCAACTAGCACTGCTGTGAGCTCCACAAGAGCGCAGATAATGTTACCTTGAGAATGAGTGTTATTATTTCGATTAATACAATCTTATTATTTCATTATTATAAACTCCAAAGTTGGGTGAAAAAGGCATTTAAGACGAACACAATGTTGAAGTACTTCATTTGGCATGGTCACGAAAACCAAATCACAATATGCGAATAATTTGCTAAAAAGTTTTGGAATCTTTTATCTTTATTTTGATATTTGTAATTAGACTGCGAACTCTTTGAAGCGAATACATACATACATTTACATATTATTATTTACATTTAAATAAGCGCACCACCTAGATATATTCGAATATCTTAAGTGATGATGTATACATCGAACTGTATTTGTACTCGTAAATGTAATGCTAGATATAATTAAGAAAGCACAAACCAAATTCTGTATAAATACATACACCTAGTAAACAATTGAAACACACATACATGTATGTATGTACATATATCTATAAATAAAAAATTATATGAAAATAGGATTCAAATGGGATCGCATTCCTATACATATGTATCTGTCAAAGTCTGTATGTATATATTGAGAAGACAGGATAGAAAGAGAGCGAGAGAGAGAGAGAGAGAGAGAGAGAGAGAGAGAGAGAGAGAGAGA